GTTATACCTGATAATTAGTGCAAAACACATAGCAGTTTTCATTCAGCTGCTTATTTGCAGAATTTTAAAGGCATGTAACAAATTCAGAACTGAATAATTGAGAGGAAAAGCAGCTTGTCAGAGACTTAAATTGTGTAAGAGAATTTCTGTGATTTCCCTGCTCATGCTGTCCTTCCGATGATCAGATATGTTTTGGCTTTACGAGCTTTTGCAAATCCTAAGCAAGGTGCAGTTTACAGAGCTGACGAGGTGAGGTTATGTGATAGGGCACGCAGCTGCCTTCTTTCTACATTTCCTGAATTTTTCCAGATTTCTTTCTTAACCAGTATACGTGCTTCTGAAGTCTAAACTCACACTGCAGTATTAGGCAAGCTTAACTATTAAGTAATCTCTTCTAGTGGGCATGTTATTAACAAATTAAGCTATATGGAGTACTTTCTGTTATTTAGGAATAAATAGAATGCTGTATTGATAAAATGCTTCTTTCAAAGTGGTGAAAAATCATGGGAAGATGATTTAATATTTCTGTCTCTCAAGGAAAGAGGATTTTTATACTATTGGAAAAGCTCCAAGTGAATAAGTGCTACTTTGTAGTAACTACTGTAACTGAATTCGGTACTAGGTTGGTTTTAACATGTGCTAATACCCTGAAAATGCTTTCTTTAGAACGGAGAAGCTTACTTAACACTGGAAGCCAATTAAGAATAGCAGTGTCCATCTATGCTTCTCTGTGCATGTTTTTGTACTAGTAACTCGGTGATATGAAGTTTGTCCTTGTGTAATTTTCAAGTTTCTTGTTTAAAATGTGCTCATCGTGATAAATTATCTGATAACTGCTTTAACTCTTTTTCAGATCTTTGAAAGAATTTTGTTTATCTGGGCAATACGTCATCCAGCCAGTGGATATGTTCAGGGCATAAATGATCTTGTTACTCCTTTTTTCATAGTCTTCATTTGTGAATATATAGGTAAGATTTGTCTTAATACCAAATTATGAATTGGTACTGGTTTTGAAACAGTATCTTCATTTTAATCTGAGTAACGATTTGGAGTAGCTAATCAAGCATAATTTGATACATTAATTTTTATCTCAAATTTTTCTAATTATAAAGCTCTCTTTACATTTATACAGAGAAGCAAACAGATTTTGTGTAAGTAGTTGGTGGAGTTAAGGAATCTTTCAGGATTTTATTCCAAACAACTTCTTCCCCCACCCACTAGCAAAAACCAACCAAACAAAATGCTCTGTATAAGTTGCAGATAGCATTCTTGTTTGTCAAATCTGAAAGCAGGGGAAGGAAACACTATCTAGGATTGGCTTTCATCTTGATTTCTAGTTAAGAAGTGTTCACCACTCCCCGTAGGTTTTTCTTTCACATTTTTTGTGAAACGTTTAAGTTGTACATATGAAATGAGCAGATATTAAAAAACAACCAAACAACTCAAACCAGACAACAACAATAAAAAGCCCCACACACCAAACCAAGAAAAAAAAACAAATCATGAAATGAGGAAACCTTTTAACTGAGTGACTGGGAGATTGAAGTAGAGGGAACCTATTAAACTGGATCTGTGACTGAAAGAATGGCAGCCTGGAATTAGGGTCTGTAAATTAAGGCAGCAGTAATCAAATTTCCCTGGTTAAGAACTCTGCTTTCTGGGACTTACAACACTAGTAACAACAGTAGCATAAACAGCTCCATTTCTGTTGAGTTTGTGGCCTTATATGTAATTATACTTTTTGAAAACCTTTTATTTTGTAAATTCTATTGGTTAAATGAACATCATTCATTTCTTTTAATCTATAGGTTAGTATTTAAGTCTTTATAAACTTTAAGAGTATGGCTAGCCATTAACAATAATTCATTAATAATTTGGGTATAACTGGGTATAAAAGGTAAGGCTAAATGTTTAAATGACAATGTTAATCTCTCTTCAATTATAACTGTTTTTATTTCTGTTTGTCAAACACACATACAATGAAAATACGCAATGCTTATACGTAAATTTGAACAATGTGTTGCCTGGCTACTTCAGTGAGACTGTATAGAGTGGATTCTTCCTGCCTTCTCTCTGCAAGATACCCATTGCAGTCTTAATCCAGATCGATTAGATTTAATGAAGGACAGATTATCCTTGAGTGGATGATAGGCTGTCCATTTACTCATTTGCATGGCAACACCTCTGTTGCTTTGTTCATTTCTTGTTTCATAAGGGGACATTTCATTGCTAAGCAACTAATGAGAACTACTGCTGCTTTCTCCCTAATCATCTCTTAAGCAGGGTAGAGGCCTGCTCCTGAGAGTGCTTGCAGTTTCTGCCTTTTACTCATTTGACAGATAATGAAAATGTTCTTAATGATCCTAGAACAGTAGGATCTCTGGTAAACTTTAGGGTTGTTAATTGAAATAAGAAGTTCAAATGAGATGTGATTAGAGAATTGATATTCCATGTTAAATAGACCATTTAATTAATATGGTAAATAAGTTTGTCTTTACCACCAACTTACATTTGGAGACCCTGGTGATTGTTAATGTATTTGCCAGTTTGTCAGTATTTTCATGTTGGAGAGCATAGCTATTCCAGTAAGTGTCCAGTGAAGAAAGACAAAACTGTAAAAGATATTGTGCCACTGCAAATGTATGAAACTTGGAGAACTGCATTCTGTAAACTCATTTAAAAGCTAATATCTATATAATAAGAAAAATACCAAGATGAAGGTATTGTCTTCAGTGAGGCAGTGGTCCTGGCTAAATGCTAACAGCAGTTATTTCCCCTAGTGACATATGAAAACTATCTAAGATTTGTCTTTAAATAGCTTTTTGATTTGCATCTTTCTAATATATTCCAGTTACATGGAGTGATGCATTCAAGTTAGAATGAGTTAGAGTGTGCATTTTACTTAAAGTTGAAATGGGGACATTAAATTTATGAAGTACCTCAAAACCCCTGGGATTTGTAATAAAATTATAGGATTCAAAACTCAGACTTTGAATTGTGCTTAAGAAATTTATATAGAAGTAAATGCAGAATTGCAGAAGCTTCCTAGCAAAAATGTTTAAGCTATTAGAGTATTTAATATTTACTCTAGTAGTATTCTGTATTTACTGTAGATTGCTTTCTGTTAACTATTGATTTTTGTGACTTTCTTGATTTAACTGAATTTAACCTATTTCAGGTTCTTTCTATAATTATAAAAAGAATTCCTAAAAATTATTAAAGATTATTAATAAATTATTATTAACGATCCATTAATAATAATACTGTGCTGATTAGATAATCTGATGGTATATCTTGATAATGTTTGCACACAGTTGTAGTTTTGTCAAATAATTTGGTGGAAGCCATGTTTATTTTAGATTTACGACAACTGACAGAGTCCTTAATCCTTAATCTTGCATAACAAGCGTGTGACGTATTTATTCTAGTGATGAGTCTTTCTACTCTGCTAAAGACATCCAGAAACCATTTGGAAAAGTGTTATTAAAGAACTTTTTGAGATACAAATGGCATGTGTAGGAATGATATTTTACTTCCCTAGTAACAGTTTTTCATTCAAATCTGAATGCCAAAAAGCAGATTTATGAGTCTTTTTATAAGAACTGAAGTCATAGGTGTTTTGATGGTTTGGTATGGATTGAGGTATCTAATTTTACCACATAGCTTCACACATTTAGAATACGTTGAGCAACTGAATGTAGGAATTGGATGTGTTAAATGTTGAGAGCATTCTTCAACCTTTCTAGCAGGGCAACTATGATGAAAGTATAATTTGGTAATGTCTCATTAGTTCCCCACTCTGTAATAATAGCAGACTACTGTAACATTTTCAGCAAGATTAAACTTGGTTGTCAAACCAAGGCAGGAGAGGCATAACCACAATTTAAGAAGATTTCAGAGTGGTAGCTACCAGCCCCTGCAGGATTACAGTAGATTCAGAATAAGATTTCTGGTCTAAATTAGGAGAAGGATGAATTTAAACCTCGGATTTCTCATACCAGATGATTATGTGAGTCAGTCTCAACTTTTTTTTTTCTTTTCATGAAAAATGTTGGAGATCTGCAAGATTGTTCTGCTATAATGTAACAGCTTATTGGAATTTCAAACACTAGTGGTACGGGAAAACTATTTTGTGCTACTTCTCCTACATGACATAGCAGTGTTATAGCATAAATTGTTAGAGCAAATGTTAATTACCGTCAGGGCAGTATTCCTGGAAGCCCTGTGTATATTGTAATTTGTGTTGAAATGAATCTTGTCCACGCGGATGCAATTGTAGAAGTGTTTTTGTTAATGAAATAAGATATGCTCACTGTTTACTGACTTAATATGGACAAGGAAATTTGGTGCTGGATTGCAAATCCTGTTTCAAGTAGCTGCACCTGTTGCTCTGAGTTCCTGTTGTTTCCAAGCATTAAGTTGTGCTGCACAGTTGCTTGTGGTTTCTTGCTCATGGAGTCAGCTATACTTCACTACATCTGACATTTCAGAACTACATCTGCATTTCAGTAATTCACGGGGCTTTGTCGTGTATATCTTGAACCATGGAGAGAACCTGTATTTATTCACCATCCAGAGAGTTGAAAGCTCAAGATAAACACCATCATAATAAGGATGCATGTCAGGCCATTGCTAAGTGGAGTAACTGTGTGGAGTCACTTTGAGACCCCCAGCACTGTTGGATCAAGAGAAAATTAGGAGTTAGTAGGAAGTCAAGGGTAGAAAATGAATGCTATTGTAGCATGTTATCATTTTATTTTGGACAAAGAATGTCCAGAAAAATGAGGCTGCTGAAGACTGGAATGGCGATAGAGATATTATCTGCAACCTTCTTGCAACAGAGGAGCTTGAGACCATTTGAGGATGCTTACAAGAACTCACAAACTGAAAACTTTGGAAAGAGGGATCTTATTCTTGTAAGTATTTTTCTTTTGATTAAAACCTTTTGTAGAAGACATTAAATGCAACTTGTGTTACCTAGTGTTTCTTAAATTGATACTGCCATGACTTTAGCAAATAATTAATCCAGACCCATATCCTAGTGGGATTGGGATGGAATTTAGTTCCAGACCAGTGTTACTGTGAGAACATAAAGGTTCTTTGGTCCTAGAAAAGCCATCGTCTGTCTATAACTCCCTTGCTTACCATGCTTTCCATTCCCTCTCACGTGTCGCAGGAATTCTTCTTGACCTTAAAATGAGATTTCATACTGATTATTGTCTCCTTTCCTTCCTTTTCAGCATATTTGCTGTGAATAATTAAACTTAATTTTGTTTCCTGTAGTTTTTTGAATACTGTATCTGAAATTGTTATTTTCATAGCATAATTGAAGTAATGTTTCAGAGCATTTATCATACCTGTATCTGAGGTAATTCCTCAATGTTAGTTTATAAAATATAAAAAAGTTGTCAGTTTAGCAGTTTGGTTTTTTTAGGAAAGAATTGTAATTTTTATGTAATAAGTACATCTGTTTAGAATGTACATAACACTGAATTTCTGAGTGATGAGGCAGTGAGCCAGAGAGCAAAGAGTATTAACCCACTGACTACAGAGAGCTGCTATAAGATTTTTCTCATACTTACAAGGTTAGAAGGTAAAATTTTGTTCAGCATGCATTGTTTCATTTACAAGACCAAGCTGAAACCTTGAATGGTGCAGTATGTAAATTAATCTAAGATAATTAATCCTGCTGCCTAGACCTTTCTTATCGAGTTTCACCAATTCACTAGTCTTGGAGAATTATGAATAAGGCTCACGCACTGGGGTTTTGAGGAGATAAAGCAGAAAAGATGTAACTGATTTGTAGTGAATCTGCTTAGAAGAGACTGAGTGAAACTGAAGGAATGAACATTGTTTTGATAAAATGAAAGTCGAACAAGAGGTTATAACTGGATTCACTGAGTGCTTCTCCCTCTTCTAGGCACTTCAAGTGGTTGGAGTCCACTTGAATCATCCTTGCTGTCTTTTG